CCTAAAGAAATGAATGGATTTTCATCAACCCGACAGTTTTTTATCACTTTAAACGTTAGAGAAAGCAATTTACTAATATAAAAATGTAAATCATTTTAAAGTTTGTTTTGTAATGTCAACGAATACTCGGTGCAACTTTTGTAATGCTCGTTGTAGTAGAGACTTTGTAATCGCAGATAAAACTATAGTAACGCCGTTGAACAATACTGATGTCAGACGCCTTCGAATATCACTCGTACTAATAGTACTTGCTTGATAATACTCGCTCGAATAGTAACCACCGAATAGTGATCCGAATAGTAAAAATTCAACTTAAGATTACTACAATCATTTGTTTTATAGTTTCTTTTATTAGTGTTATGCCGGAACATACCTATTCTATTGTTAATAGACTCTCCCACAGATAATAAGCAGTAGCAGTCGCCAGGGAGCTCAGTGGAGTTGGTGTGTCAGTCGATGTCGGACATTAAAGTATCAACCACCACAACTAGATTGCTGCGTCATTAACTATTATTTCAAGTTCCTAACGTTTTGTACATCGGACCCTTTTCGGGCCGACTTAGTGAAATACAAGCCTCCACTGTGAAAACTACTCTACAGCAATTAGTAAAAAGGAAAAATATTATTTCATCTATTTGTTTTACTTTTTAAATATAAATAAATAAATGACATGAGTGTCATTTATTTATTTATATTTTAAAATATTATATGTATAATATATAATATTATAATATATTAAAAATATTATATTTATTTATATTTAAAAATATTATATTATATGATCCACTTAATTCAATAATAATATTTCATCATAAATAATTTTTGTAATGTCAACGAATACTCGTTGTCACTTTCGTAATGCTCGTTGTAGTAGAGACTTTGTAATCGCAGATACAACTATAGTAACGCCATTGAACAATACTGGTGTTAGATGCCTTCGAATATCGCTCGGACTAATAGTACTCGCTCGATAAGTAACCATCGAATAGTGATCCGAATAGAGAAATAGTATAGTCAATAGTACAGGGAATAGCGATAGCGTAATAGTGTATAGAGAATAGTAATAGAGTAGAGAGAGTGATCAATGGATTTAATTTTTACATACCCATTTTATTACAGACTAGCAGTAGAGCCCGGCGTTGCCCGGGGATATAACAGTAAGAGATAGACCAAGTATCGACCATCATAAAGTCTGGAAAATAAAATTTACTAAGATTATTGTTTAAGGTTGACGGACACGCATGTCTTAATTAGTTTTTTTTTTTTTGTGGGGTGGGGGGTTACGAATTGGTCAAACCCAAACTCAAACAAAAACATTGTTTTCAATCGTTATGAGTCTACCGATTGAATAGAATTTTATTATAAACAATTGTCTTGTAAATGGAAATTTTAAAGCATTCTGAATGTAAAAATAAAGAAAAAAAGTGTGCAAGACAATAAGAAACACTATCTGCCAAAAAAAAGTGAAGTTTTGTTGAAATCGCTTGAAAAATGTAGGAAATCCGATCTCATGTATAAACGAACACACACAAACAACCTGGGTTTTATAATAAGTATAACTCGATATGAGTTGTCCCCCTTTCATTCTGGTGACAGAATCGTATTTTATCGTGTTTTCAAATTCATTTTGTGCAAAAACAATTGTGTTTTTCCGATTTTTGGCGCTGTCACAACCACCGCAAGGTAATTTTACGTAGTCCTGTGAAGTTTTGTTGAAATCAATTGAAAAATGTAGGAAATCCGATCCAATATATAAACGTACAGACACACACACACACACACACACACACACACAATCTGCGCTTTATAATACGTAAGATTCTTATGTAGTTTGATGTGTAGAAACAGAAAAAAATCAATTACAATCACTTTCATGCATGATTAATACGCTAAATCAAGGCACGAATTATGCGGTTTTAGACATGACGAAGGTCGGAGCGTACAACGGCCGAAACGTCGTGAATAGAACAATAAAGGTGAGGACAACAGTCCGAACAATATAAATAAATAACATTTTATTTTAATGGACTTTTGTTAAATAATGTTTCTTTTGGGCTTTCGGGCCGCATGAAGCCATCAAGCGGTCCGCTTGTGGCCCGCAGGCCGCAGTTCGCTCAGCATTTTACTAGGGCTAAAAACTGTACAAATTTCATCAGAATTTGTTTTTGGAGATTCCAGGAATTAAACTTAGTCTCCTCTTCAACCCTGTGGAGAGATACTGTCAGAGTGGTGATTGGAGATTAGAAATGGACTTAATAATATGAACCACTTTAAAAATATCACCCAGTGACATAAATGGATGTCCCCTCAGGGAGGGACCGTACCTTGAGAGATTCTTGGGATTTATACTCACACTTGACCACGTGGAATCTCTATCTATAAAAGACAGGATGTGTGTGTGTGTGTGTGTGTGTGTGTGTGTGTGTATGTGTGCGTGTAACGAATGCACGGCCGCAATTTTCGACGGATTTGCACCAAAATTTACATGCACATGCTCCAAGTTAGCGAGAAGGCCAACACCGACTTTGCATTTCCCAACTCCCATCGATAGTGGAAATAATCGATTTTTTCATGCTTCTACGGCAGTTTTCATGTAGTTTGCGGCCATTTTCTACTGGCCAGAGTGAGAGCCTATAGCTGGCTGCCACGAATAGGCAGGAAGATTCTATTGGCCAGCGTGAGAGCCAACGGTTGACTGACACGAATGTTAACTAGCATGCTAGCATGCAAAAAAAATCGATAGCTGCATTCGTCACAAGTGGGAAAAATTTAAATCTGCATGGCACTTTACTCCAATTGGCTCATTCGCTTGCTTCAACTCAACGTTGATTCTGATTCCACAGAACTGGGTTGGGTGTGAAAAAGTATTTGTTGTTAACATTCTTTTTTCTTTCGCTTTTTCCAGTTACGAGTCCTTTTTTTAAAGCTGATCGTTTTGTGTTCATTTTGTTTAGTTCTTTTTTCGTAACAGATTAAACGTTTAGTATAGAGCTTAGAAAAAATCGCAGTGTGAGATAGGCATGTAGCAACATCAGCACGGCAAAGGGCACTCCTTTAAAGGCAAGGAAAGGCAAAAATATTTTAAGTCAAGTGATAGCGATTGCTGTATGAGTCGTACGATTTTTGAATCAAGCACGGGCAACGCCGGGCCGTGCTGCTAGTTCGTACATACAAGCCATCACCAAAGATGAAGGTAAAATAGCCGGTTTCCTGTACCAACCCAGTAAGTAACTGACTCCACGTGCTATCATCTACCTTTACAAGAGACAGACTAGGACAAGAATGGAATATTTGGACGGTAGCTGCTGAGGCCGCATTTTCCAGTCCCGATCTCCGAGTCTTTGTTGGAGAAGAATTATTTTCCACCCTCCAACTTCTCTGTCAGAGGCCGGATGTGGCGAGCCTCACGCTGTTCTGTCGTTACTTTCACGGAAAATGCTCGGACGATCTGCATTCCTTGGTTTCGTCAGGCCTACCCTTCACGGCAAGGACCTGTCATGTCATTCACATTGTATCAAACGACTCACATTCCCTCTGTATTTCAGCGGTGAAAAGTAAGTTCTACTCGAGCAACTTCTTCCTGCGAACCATTGCTCTGTGAAACATATTCTCAGGAAGATGTTTCCCCCATAAGTACAATCTTAACCTGTTCAAGGGTTAACCGATACCTACCCTCCTATACGTAAAACTGTTACCTAACGTAGCGTAAAGATTGCACCCCGGGCCTTGTACAGAGTGAATCTTACTGTAAAATAATTATTTTATATACTGTCCAAAATGGTGGTTCTAGCTTAATGGCCATGGAAAATTTGCATAATTACCTTTTAAAAATCAAATTTTTGAAATGAACTCTTTCGCTAATTAATTCTGTGATCTTTGTAAATAAGCGATTATTTTATTAATGGCTTTTATAATTGAATTGCTTCATTATTCAAATAAAATCCCGTTCTGTCCTGATAACAACATGGTTATAAAGAGAAGTAATTAATCTGTGACGGGAAATAAACGACATATTTTTTTTATATTTTAAAAATTTCATTACTGTAAATTTTCATTTTGAAATATTTATTTTTTTATGTTTTCTTCATAAAATTAAAAAAAAAAGTAAGTTTCTCGATTATTGTTTACGAATGAATTTGATTTTTTTTCATCGAATTTATTATTTTATTTTGTTATTACGATTGAATATGTATGTATTTATTGAACTTATTCTTTTATCTTATTATATTTTTATCTTAGAATGAATATTTTTATTGATTTCACCCCAAGCAAGGCAGTAAAGCCACTAAGACACAAGAGGTTACTGGGTGTGTAAGAATTAGAAAAAAAGAAATATTACTAAAGAGCAAGAACAAAAGAAGAGTAATCAGGAGGACAGTAGATAGCGATTGACATTGCATTTAAACTTTTGAGGATTAAATTTGGCGGGAAAGCATGGAGCCCGAAGGGTGTTCCATAAGCGAGAAGTGCGAGCATAAAATTTACGGTTACATCTAGCCAACTCAACTGTAAATTGATAAGATCTCAACCCAGTCTAGTACTGTGCTTAAATTGAGAAAGTCTAGACACCTTGGCGAAGAGCGATACGCATACCGCATTATTTACAGAAATGTGGCACAATGCCAAAATGGAGAATGGAGAAAAAGGATGGTCTTTTACAGTCTTAACATTAAACTTAACTAGTTACGATCCCTGACACAAGCATACCAATGACTAAGCAATGCAAGAGAGTCCAGTTTGCCAGGTAAGTGATGAATTCATACATTTCAAAGAGGCATTGCGATAAAACAACGACAAAGGCATTGGTCGGAATTTGAGCCAAGCTCACCGCTGATAAACATAACGTTACACGCACATCCGTCATAGAAAAAAAAGGAGTTATGGTAAGGGAATAATAAAGAGGGAGGTATTTGTAAAAGAGAAGACAGCAAATAAAGTATGGTTATTTTTCACTTACTTTCTTTTTTTCTTTTTTCTTTTTTTCTTCCATTCTCTGACAGAAGCGCATTCAAGGAACCTATCAATTGGTTTGAAAAATGACGTCGAACAAATTGATCAGTTAGAAAGCCACTTTGATTGGGCTATGTCGGAAAGTTGCCTGAAGTATCATGAATGCCATTACTTCAAACGATTTCTACAAAACAACAAAGTGAGTTACATTTTTGTCCTTATTGATTTATGTTGTTCGTTAGTCTTATTTTTCTATAATAACAGAGGAAAGACAAGGACAGGAAGTGCGCGCGGGAAAGAAAGAGGGGAAAATTCGAACCAAATTAATATCTGTATATACCTTTATAAAACCATTCGAAATGCTTACACTTGAAATCATCCGCTAATATCTTGGTACATCTCAAAGTAGTATCCACCTACCTACCTACGGTATGTGAAACCTTAGTCTAAAGAACGGAATCAGTAATAGAAGCGTGCCGTTCTCCAATTTAAAACATTTGCCCCTTACCTGCAGTAGATAAGCCCCGAAAAAATATCGATTTTTTTTGTAATTCATTGTTCACGAATTCTCTCTTTTTCTCTCTCTCTCTCTCCCTCTCTCTTTCTCTCTCTCTCTCTGTCATATATATAGTGAGCTACACACACACACACACACACACACACACACACACACACACACATATATATATATATATATATATATATATATATATATATAATGAGCTACGGAGATGTCTACACGCCTGAAGTTATGAGGACGTTGACTAGTTCTAACATTTTTGTCAAGTAATTTGTTTTCTTCACACATGGTCGTATCTTTATGACCAACCAACAAAATCCTTTTTTCAATGTTAGTTTAAATTAATTCAATTAAAAACTTAAAATGTTCACATGTTTGTTGATAAACTACATTTTCTAATTAAATGTAAATGTTTCGCAAATATATTTTGATTGCAGTAACAGTATTTTATATTTTTTAACCCTATTGTATCTGGTCTAATATTTTGACTGACAATATATATATAAATATATATATATATATATATATATATATAATATATATTCTCATCATAAAATATAAAAAATCCGGTATAATCATCGGATTCTACATAAAACACTCAGAAATTGCAGCCCTTAATATTTACATGATGAGGAGAGAAATACATTAAAAACACATTTAAGCTTCTTCAGTACCTTAATTATTTATTATTTTATATTCAATGCGAAACAAAAGGCTTATAAAATATTACAATATCGAAAAAGCCGTGCCTCTTGACAAACCCAATGAATCAAAGGAAAATATTGTCCTACCAACTAACTTTATCACATCCATAATTAGAGGGAACCTATCTAAACTCAACATAAAATTTGTCACTACATCTAAAATAATAAAAGAATTAGTCAATACTAAGCAAAACAATAAGCTATAACTTGAAAGAGGAATTTACTCGATCGCCTGTAATAATTGTCACAAATAATACATAGGAGAAACCTCAAGGAATCTAAAAAAAAAAATTATATGACCAAAGGAGAAAACAATTCACTATGACGAAAATGTCTAGAGAGTGGCTTTGTTGCAAGGTCATCTACAGCAAATTTGGGCCCTGGCTCTTACAACATTTTCACCATTCCTGGCAGAAATTCCATTATCACAGTGTGGGATATCTACTAACAAAAATGATTAAAAGAAAAAAAAAAGAGAATCTCTATTAAATCAGTAAAACAAGGTAAGTCGAGTTTTATTTTTCTATATAATATTTAAGAAAAACCGACGTATATTCGAAACTGACTTAACTCGAAACGACTTAAGCTGAGGTATCACCGTAAAACAAACCAAACCAGACTCTCAAAAAAACCTCTTCACAAAATATATAAATGAAACCTGATCTAAAAACTGATTTCTTACAAAGAATACATATTCTATTCATACAAACCTATCCTAAAAATCTTGTCGGCATTAAATAACCAATTGAGGTTGATATACCGTAAAACAAAATAAACCAAACCAAACGAAACCTACACTATTTTCCTCCAGTTTCTTTTGAATTTTTATTTTTATTTTCTATTTTTTGAGGTCTTAGTATAAAGAGTTATTGATATTCAACAACTGAGAATATATAAGTTATACCTTCATGCAACTCTGTGTATGCTAGAAGATGCCGTAAATTAGACTTTCATGGCTGAGCGGGTTAAAGCAACTCTAACATAAACATTGTTTTTCCTAATATAAGAAGAACGCATGTTCCAGCCTTGCCGCAATCATATTAGATAACAATTATAGTATTCAATTAAAAAGAGATATCTACTCAAACACGTGTATCTAGTTGATTTTTTACGGCTTATCAACTTTTTGCATGTTATTTAAAGCCGGAAAATATTTTCAGATGGTAAGAATATAGAGGAGAAAATGATGACTTACAGATAAAGGTCCTACTATTTAACCCACAGCTTGGGGAGAAAAGTTGGATTCATACCTTTCCCAAGGATATTTGTGCGTAAGTGAATATAACAATCCCGACTTTTTTTAATCATTTCACCCTACTCAAGGCAATAAAGCTACTAAGACTTTGTGGAACAGACTCTGAAAATGATGCTTCCCCGGTTACAACGATCTTAACCTGTGCCAAACTAGGGTCAACCTTTATCTATCCTACAAATCTTCATAATTCGCATTGTTCCTGTGCAACTTCCTTTATTAACCCTCTACCGGAAGTGGCCTTGTATTGGATGAAAAAAAGTATTAAAATATTTCTAACATCTCTTTTTAAAAACCATTTTCTTTTACTTTTTTATCATTTTATCCCAGGCAAGGTAATAAAGCCACTACGGCGAAAGGGCGTACTGGGTGTTAGAGAATATGAGAAAAAACTACTATTAAGGAGAGAGGACAATAAAAGAATAAGAATTAAGAAGACAGTAGATAACGATTGACACTGCATTTGAATTTTTGAAGATCAAAGGCAATAAAGCCACTAGGACGCAAGGGGTTAATGAGTGTTAGAAAATATGAGGAAAATTACTATTAAGGAGAGAGGACAATAAAAGAATGAGAATTAAGAAGACAGAAGATAACGATTGACATTGCATTTAAATTTTTGAAGATCAAACTTGGCTGGAAAACAAGAAGCCCGAAAAAGTTCCACAAGCGATAAGTGCGAGAGAAGAAACTGTTAGCATAGAACTTACGGCTACATCTAGCCATTACATCTCTAATATCATAAGATCTTGCCCCCAATCTAGTAGTACGTATTTCTGGTAAAAAGAGAAACGAGGTATTTATTTCTGCTATGTACAGAAAATGTGATACAAGGCTAAAAAGGGAATGGGGAAAAGGACGGTCTTCTTCTGTCTTAACTTTAAACATAGCTAGCCACAAACACTGACCCAAACAGACAACAATATTCCTAACACCAAAACAACGCATTCTTATTTACCAAAGAGAAAGGTTCCTTCGAACAATTACCATGAAAATATTTATGGAAAAGGCACAGGAAAGCTATGTTACGGTAGCGTAAAACTGATTGCCGAGATGTCAGATTAGAGCCAATAACATTGCTGATTCTTCTTTGGATTTTACCAAAAATTTCTAAATACATAGCAGAAGCACCAGATGTGGCAGCAATATTCACTGCATGGATGAATGGTAGACTTATAAATGTTTAAAATAGATTCTGGCGAGAATATTTGTCTAGTGAACCAACTTTTCTAGCTGCAGACTTAGCAATTGAGTCAATATAATCTTTCCACGTCATGCCATTGGAAAACGTTTGTCCGAGAAGGTTCAATGCGTTACTCGCCTGGAGGTTAGCATCAGTCGTGGTGATGGAAGGTTAAAGAGGTGTTCTAAAACGATTAAAGAGACTTATTTCGTTTTGGAAAATATTAAAATTAACAAGCCATATCTTGCCCCAGTTAACAACAGACTGTACGTAATTTTTGAGATCAGTTGCTAATTTATCGAACCGATCAAACTCGAGGCGGTGTAATGGTTGGCAAGCTTGTCTCGCTAGAACAATTACAACTGGGTAGTGAGTTCGATCCTCACTGGGTGCCCCCCCACTTTCAGCCTTGTGCCACATCTAAGTTACGCTTGGAAAATCACTATCGAACCGATAAAACTTACCATTAAGATAGGGGTAAATAGTTATTTTTAATAATTTCACCTCGAGCAAGGCAATAAAGCCACTAGGACGCAAAGGGCTACTGAGAAAACTACTATTAAGGAGAGAAGACAATAAAAGAACAAGAATTATGAAGGCAGTATGATTTGGGTTAGTTTGTTTGTTTAACGGCATATCAACATCTCATGGGTCATTTAATGCCGAAATTTAATTTTCTTGTGAGCTTTAGTATTTTTTTCCGAAAATGTATTGATAGTATTTTTTTTTTACTATGAAAATGTATTGATAGTAATTTTTTTTTACTATGAAAATATATTGGTGATAGTTTTTTTTTTTTTTTTTTACTATGAAAATGTATTGATGGTAATTTTTGTAATGCATCTTTATATTTTTATGTTTTCACCTAAGTTTAGGGGTTCCCTATTTGCCCATAGCTGAGACCCTAACAGGTGCTACTACACCGGGTCAGGGTGGACCTGAGAACAATTAAGAGGTGGATCCACGCTCCCGATGGGAGGCCTTGTTGCCGGATGTAGTTTATCGTCATATCCAGGATGTAAGAAGACAGGAGTTAACGATTGACATCGCATTTAAATTTTTGAAAATCAAACTTCACTGGAAAGCAAGAAGCCGGAAGAAAGGTCCACAAGCGATAAGTGCGATAGAAAAAACTGTTAGCATAGGACTTACGGTTACATCAAGTCATTTCAATTGTAGAATCATGAGATTTGCCGCCGGTCTTGTACTGTGCTTAAATTTAAAAAAGTCTAGGTACCATAGCGGAAGGTTTATCAGAACAATTACCATGAAAGTATATATAGAAAAGTCACAGGGAAGCTAGGTTACGGCGGTTGGAAAGAGAGTGATGACGAGATGCCATATCAGGACTATTAACAATGCGTGTTCCTCTTTGGATTTTATCAAGGATCAGCATAGATACCGTAGTTTAGAAATGATGACATCGGGAAGGTCGTTGATGGACATTAATGTTGTTCATAATGGGGGGTTGTCTTCGAGTATAGAATCCAGAGGTTAGCAGTGAATATTTCGAAGACAGTAGGGAAGCGTTGTTCAGGTT